TTGAGCAAATACAAGCACATAATTTTTTTGTGGGTACCAATTGGAAGACTGTTACAGACGCGGGATTTAGTTGTAACAGTAACGAACGCAATCGGTGCAAAGATAGTAGAATTTCTTAAGCACACGTGTATAGATTCATATGCGGAGGTATAGGCCCCTATTATGAGTTGCATTCGATCTTCGAGACTATGGTCCAAAGTGCTGATCGAACGAATTTGCATTTGGTATTATGACGCTCATTCGATAAATAATAGCGCTATTGTGTATTTCGCTCGTTTAGGTTGTTCACAATGGTATAGTTTGCACCACTGAGAAGCTTGCTTACAAATCGAGCAAACTAAATAGTGCACTTATATATAAATTTGTGCAAATTAAAATGAAGAAAAAAGGAAGGCTTAATAAACCTGCCTTGCATTGGTAAAAATGAGTACAACTGAGTTCTGGTTCAACGATTCGTCAGAAGATGAGAGCTTAGTAAACTGGCCAGGAGTAGAAAATGTTTAAGAGAGTTTAAGTGTAGTCTTTCGAATAGATTTATTAAAAACTTCCGACTGTCTAAAGAGGCGTTTGTGAGCCAAAACTATTGAAAATATTTTAAAACTATCAGCACCTCTACGATTTTGTCTTCAGAGATCGTGCCAACTGAGTATTGTGATTTTCTTTCACAAGTAAAACCAGCCTTTGGAGCTTGTGTTTAGTATTCACGATGTTAGAACTGCATGAAATTAATACCATCGAAAGCGAAATTCTGTTCGAAAGAAAATTCGATACCCAACGAAAATTTCGACACGGTTGCATAGCTCATATTACGAATTTCACTCTCGATCTTCGATAACCAGCGAAGATCGAAAATCGAATGCAACTCATAACAAGGGCCATAAACTTTATTTATGGTTATCACTGAAACCATCGTACTATTTTCGATTTTCATGAAATATCTACGATCGAATGTATACGTGTGGATGTACTGAATAGAGCCAGTTAATTTGCTCCCAGTTTTGTGTTAATTATCGTCATAGCCTTAAATGAAATTTATTGAAGAAAAAATGTTGTTAAATTTTTTATTTGTGAATTTGGGTTGTAACAGTTTTTTTTTTTTTATAAAAAAATCACTATCCCCCCTATTATGAATTTTCATACGATAGATGATAAACGCTTGCAAGCGTATCGTATGAAATCAGGGCTCGTATTATCGTTTTCATACGCCCGATAGATGTATTGTTGTGAATTGTATTTTGAACTAGCACAAATCAGCTATGCTAACTATCGGATTCCATACGACAACATCGATTCGTAATATAGACCAACAGAATGCAAGCGTTTATCGTACATCGAACGGATTCATAATGCAGGGGTATGTCACACTTGCGATCAGTTAATTATGTCAGCAACGTTTTGATAAATTTGGCTATTTTTATTTTGT